GATGGCCAGAGCAGCTCCCAGGCCAACCTGGATGCAGCAACGGAGCCTACCTAGAGTAACTTATATACCCTAAGGGTCCAAGGACCCAAATAATAGGGTTTTAGGGCCCAAATACCATTAATCTTATAGTATTTGGGCCCTAAAACCCTATTATTTGGGTCCTTGGACCCTTAGGGTGTAGTGTCCTGCAGCCGCCTGAGGAGAGCCAAGTAGTCGCCTGAACCCTGCGCATACTACAGCGTCTACCTGAACCCCAAAAGTATGTAAAATAATGGCCTTTTAGGCTATTATTAGGGGTTTAGGGCTGCTATTTTACATACTTTTGGGGTTTAGGTAATACCCATCTAAAACCCTACCTGGTGCCTGGATGGCCTTCCTTTTTGGGGTTGGTTCTGTCCCGCATTTTTGTAGGGTATATCCCCAAAAGCTAGGACATCCAGGATCCATGCCCCGAGGCCCAACGGGCCGAACGTCGTTGTAGGGCTGTTCTTACTGATTGTTAGTAGGGATTGGAGGCATAGATCCCTATGGTAGGCTTGGTATTATCCCCAAGGAACCTAGCCGTTGCCTCTTTCCATTCCCTACTAAAAACAATCAAGTGTCAAAAGAGGAATACCATAAACACCATTACAAACACATAGCACTCAAAGATACTAAGTAGTCCCCAATAAAAGCTCGAACTGATCCCCCTGCTCTGTGAAGAAGGGACTTGGAGCTTTGATTACCCACAAAGCCTTAACAAAGATCCTACCGCCTGCAGCCTACATGTGCAATGAGCTATCCCCTCCCCCTGAAGGAACTAAAAACATATCTGTACATACATCATACATAGATGTACCTATATATATACATGTATATATATATAGATAGATACATGAAATGTCCCCCGACCGTATAATTGTTACCGTGTTGCGGGGTGTGCTTCTTAGTAGGAGTGGGGGGGTTGTTTCTTTCGGGTGGGAGAAGATTGAAGCCCTTAACCCCGAACCCTAAGTTAAGCCTCGAACCCTAAGCCCTAAATCCTAAATCGCGAGCTTGAAACCTAAATCCTATACCCCAACCCTAGGGATCCAAGTATACAAATAATACCTACATTGGGCCCTAAAGTCTGTAAATATTATCTACATTGGGCTATTTGGATCCCTAGGGTAAGCCCTAAGCCCTAAACCCGAGACCCTGAACCCAAAACCAATGAATTGACTCAGGAACCTTGAGACAAATCGCGGCATTCACGGGCTACAAAGTGGGCCCGAAGGAGACCTTTGGCCTGTCCGATTCTGCTCACGGTAGGGCCAGGTTTAGGATGTAGGGTGTTTAGAGTCCAAGGTTGAAGGTTTAGGGTTCAAGTTCCAAGGTTTAGGATTTCAAGCTTAGAGTCTGGGGTTTAAAGTTCAGGGCTTGCTGTGAGTTAGCGTGCAACCAGTGATGAGTGGGGTGGATCGACCCTTCAAGTGGGTCTTCCTCTACGCTTTGAGGCGGGTAAAGAGCCAGGTGCAGGCACAAGCGGTGTAGAGTTTAGGGTTTAGGTTTTGGGGTTCAGTTTGTTGGGCTTAAAGTTTGTGGTTTAGAAGGCTCGGGGTTCAGGGTTGCGAGCATTAGCAGCGTAAGATTTGTACCAACAATGGAGCATCAAATTTAAAGGATGATGGAGAGCGAAATGGCAACTGGGTGTAATATAGGGGCTTATTTATGTTTAACCATAAGGATTATTTAGGAAAACTGGGACGAGGGTTAGAAATAGGGGAATCACATGGGAATTCAAACGGAAACTGGGATGCTGTAGGGTTATGCCACTATGCTGTATCTTCACTGGGTGTACCGTAGTGTGCAAAATCATGTATGGCCATACTCTCGGTTTTGCTCTAGGTACTTGAGTAGAAAACCATACAATCTTTTTAATTCCAACCGCAAAACGCACATCACTGCTACACAGGAACCGGAGAAGCATCCAAGCGCCTAATGTTGGGGCCTACATAATTAGAATAGGGGTATGAGCTATACTATAACATGACCTTATGCACCTAAAGAAGGGGATGGTATGTTCAAGTACGTGTGCAATACCTTACCCTCAAACCTAAATCCCAAACCCTCCTGGACCCTGAGCCCTGAACCTTAAACCCTATACATGAAGCCTGAAAGCTCCGTCCTGCAGGCTCATCATGGGCCTAAATAATTACAGGTAATGGAGCGTCTAATGGAAAGTGGAATACCTCCAAACCCAGCGCAACAAACCCTGAATCCTAAAGCGCTCCTGACTTGGCCTAATTAAACTCTGAACCCTGAATCTGAGCACGTTGCTTGTGAGAGCAGGACCGCAGATCCGACGTTTCCGATATGACGACGAGGCATCAATGGTCATTAATTTAGTGACATATAGGGGTTATACAGGGATACTGGAAAAGAAAGTGAAACTATAGGGTTTATAGGGATACTAATTTCGTACACCCCTATAAGGAAGTATCTGGATCTAGCAAAGTATGTTTATTGTAGCTCTGGGGTGATTACAGGTGGTATTCATGTTAGCCATAGCCTAAACTCCTTAAAAGGAGGGTATATACGGGGTTATATAGCGGACTATTCTAGGGGTTATTAAGGGGGATACTAGGAGTTTAGGCAATAACCCCTATAATTCCTGACATAGCCCTATATATATTATATATATATATATATCTAGCAGTTTCCATGTCATTTTCCATGTTATGTTCCACTCGATTCTCCATTATCAAGGGAGATACAAGGAGTTTAGACTATATAACCCCTATAGTTTAGGGTTTAGGGTTTAGACAAAAGCTCATGTCAGAAAACGAGTCCGCAAAAGCAGACCCAGGACGTAGCAGTAGCCCCTCCCTGCAAACGGACTTGGGTTTAGGGTTTAGAGTGTAGGGTTGGTTTAGGGTTTAAGGTTTAGGGTTTAGGATTTAGGGTTTAATGTTTAGGGTTTAAGGTTAAGGGTGTAGGGTAGCTTCATTGGATCCTATTTCTGGGGCGTGGGTTTAGGGTTTAGGGTGGTTCCCAAAACCTTCATATGAGCAAAACCAACGCCAAGTTTTCAGGTACCTTAAACCCTAACCCTAAGTCCTAAATACTAAACCCACACAAGTTTCAGCAGAGCCTTGACATCCGGCCGGTCAAATCCCCCGCCCCGAGTAAAAAACACCCCTGCCCCGTCCTAATCATAAGTACCACCAACATAGTACCATTTCCTGTATTGGGAATGTGATATTCCTTAGGGTTGAGGGGGGTTTATAATCAGGGCGGATTCGTTTTGAGAGCTCAAAGTTTAGATTGCGTCTATCTCGTGAAGCTGGACTTTGAGGTTACCCGATGTTTCGCGACATGCCCACGTGATTAGTTTCTTTATTTATTTGCGGATCCTACAGCCCCAGCGCAGAGTAAGATTGCATCCACCTTTTTGGCGATGGTATTCTCTGCAAGAAGATTGTTTTTGGTTAAACCACGCACAAAATGCGACTCATACAGCTCCTTGTCCGACCACCAGGGACGCCCACTGACATTTTCCTGCCACCTCCCACACGCACATGCTCTCCAATCTATTGAATGAGAAGTCTATACCCAACTAACTAGCAGCGGGCGTCTAAGGCCACTAAGAGATTCCAATACACCTTCACCAGCACATCTTCTTAGCATCATACCAACACCCTTCTTACATGTTGGGAAGTTCTCAAGTTTGCTTCTAATCCAGTCCTGTACCTAGGGTTTTTGAGGGCTCCTGATCTTTCTAGTACCTGTGACCCCTATAAAGATAATCCCTCTCAAACCAAAGAATTACATTTTTCTAGGCCCCCCATACCTACACCGTTTAACCAGAGCCATCTCTCTGGACATGTACGTAAAACCTGAACCTCAACTCACGTCCAAGGCGAACTCGTCGGTGATTAACTTGTTTGTGGGCGGCGACTCTGCTCAGAACGGACTTCTGAAAATGGGAACCCTAAACCCTAAGTAGGGGTGTGCGGCATTGGAGGGAAGAGATTGGACATGGTGTTAGGGGCTGACATCTGAGTTTCACGAAATTAGGAGTTCCTCTTAATTCAGGGGTCCCCAACAAGGATTCAAATTTCAAGGGTGGGTAAAGGGCTCTCCTGTTTTGGGCTTAGGGTTCAGGGGGAGAAATGCCCCTGTTGTGCTTCGCGTCTACGAAGATCAGGGCTTGAGCATTTAGAGTGCGCTCGGGGATTCGGGTCTCTCAAAGAGTACGCTACCTTCATATGAACCATAGTCTAAACTCCTTAATGGGGGGTTATATAGGGGGGTATATAAGGGACTACTATAGGGGTTATTAAGGGGGATACTAGGAGTTTAGACTATAGTTCATATACTCACTAAAAGCAAGGAGCCTGAAGCCCTAAAATGTTGATACGCCCTGAAAGGAGTCCTTAAGTCCCCTTACCCAAAGGGTCCAAAGTACCTATATTGTACAAAGTATGGTTTCTGTAGTAGTAATTTCCCTTATGGTTTGGGTAAGTATTCCCCATATGGTTACTTAGGACCCTTTGGGTTATACTCCTTGCAAAGCCTAGGCTCCTAAGGGCTCTGTTTTTGGGAAACTTTTGTTTGATACTGAGCACGAAGCACCCATAAATGGCAGAGTTGCTCCCCCTAAACTGGTTTGGGGAAAAGAAATGTCATGAAGGGGTTGTAGTATATTAATATATATAAGGAGAATGGAAAAGAAAAAGCTGAACCCCCACTTTTTTAGGTGTTTTCTTTTATTAGGGTTTGGGCCCAGTCAGAAACCTCCCCGCACACCCCTTCCGCCAGCCATCCCTGCCAACCCTGAAGTTTAATATTGATTACTCCAAAATGGTGAAGAGGGCTGCGTGCGCGAAGGACCGAAATCCTGTTTGACCCGTGTGTGTTAGCAACATTGAGATTAGAGGGGCAGGGGGAGCTCGATCGCTGACAACTGCGTGCTCTTGATCTACCAGGTCATGCACGATTTTGTTCATCCACCGTATGAATGATCTCCCCAACCCAAGTAACATGATACAAGCCCTTTGCATCATTGCCAACTGCCTAGGCTACCTGCAGTCTCTCTCCCAAGGACGTTGGCGAAGTCTGCTTCATTCAGGCAAGGGGGCTCTGGGTTTAGGGTTTTAGGGTTTAGGGGTTGTAGGTGCAGTAAGGGAGGTGCATTCATAGCCTGTCAGGTTTCCCAAAGGGTTAAGTAGAAGTGCACGCATACGTAGATGTATAGCTGTGTACATGTACATCCATGTACGTATACCTGTTACTTCAACCTCTTGTTGGGATGGTCAGGGGGGCTTGGTAAGCATATTTATAAGCCTGATAAACTACATAATTCGCCCAGTTATTCCCATGATTAATCTACTTAATTAGTGTGCCTGACCCTACCAAACCATACACACCACATATTATGGCATTTTCAATTTTCGTTTTCATCCCTCACTGTCACGAATTGCCCAAAGTAGGAGCCCTTCTTCCACTCCCTTTCCAATTTCCTGAACTCTAAACCTGAAACTCTGCAGCCCTAAACCCTGGACCCCCAAACGCTAAGCTCTTAACCCCTATGCCCTAAATCCTGAATCATACATATACACCCTATCTAAAAACTTACGCCGTACAAAAACCTATAGCCCCTAACCCTAAATCCTAAACCCCAACTTTCTCCGCTCGGACTCGCAGGCTCTAATCCCAGTGATGCGGCTCAGCATGCCTGTTTAGCATTCAGGGTTTAGGGTTTACGGTTTCAGGTTGAGGTAGCATTCAGGGTTTAGGGTTTACGGTTTCGGGTTGAGGGGGGGGGAGTTCCATAAATTGGGAGGCCCTTTTTGAGGGCTACCTGTAATGAAGGGTAGGCTATTTTGAGGTTTATATTGGGGCCACCTAGTTGCTGGGACAACTACCAAATTCGGCTGTAGGCTTTCGGATTTAGGCTATAAGGTCAGGGATTCTAGCATTCGGTCTTTAGGGTCAGGATTTTGGGGGTCAAGGCTTCGCATGTAGGGTTTCGGGCTGAGGCTTACGGTTTTGGTTTAGGATATATATGGGGGGTCAGGTCCTGGCACCCGTGTAGTAGGTCGCAGGGCTGTAGGTACTTTAATACATACAGGTACAGAAGGACGAAGCAACATAAGTCATTTTTGTAGGGCATCGGGATTCTACTGCAGGGTTTTACCAGACCATGGAGGCTATGAATTTGTGCGTGCGTGTACTGGTCTACCTTGGAACTGTTTGGTTAAATACATGTTTACTCTACAGGTCCAAGCATGCAATGAGTACTTTAGTACCTGGACACAGGATACAAGATTTTTGTTAACTCCAACCCCACGACAAGGACCGCCTATGACCCAGTCATGTGAGCTATAGTCTAAACTCCTAGTATCCCCCTTAATAAGCCCTATAGAAGTCTCCTATATAATCCCTTATATCAGCCCCTTCAAGGAGTTTAGATTATGACTCATGTGGCTTTTGGCGGGGTCTTGGGGCGCCCAAAAATTCTGGGACTTATGTCGTGCTTGGATACTTGCAACCCGTTGGGTTGTTGAACACATCATAAACGATTGACACAGACAATTACCTGGCAACCCAAAAACAAGCAATAGAATGGTTGTTGCCAAACAACCACACTTTGCAGATTCAGGCCCCTACCGAGGAGGCCGTTGTTTGGGGAACAATCATGTTGTTTGGTTGCTTGGCTACCCGATAAAGTATGAATGTCTACCTACTATAGTTGTAAGGGAGCCAGAGGTGATAAGGTGTGGAGGCAAGGTCAGACTGATCTACGTGCACAGCTCGATAAAGTCATAGTAGCAAGTGTAAAAGCGATAGGTCAGGATGATAATAATCCTCTGCCCTAATCATGAAACCGTCGCCCTAAAAGTGGACACTGCTCCCTATGTTTGGTAAGCTCCTGGGACCTTACAGTAACCCTTCCGAGCGAAACACTGCCCCTGCCCCTTCCCTTTTGCCCTATGAAATTCTCTCGGACATCCATGGCATAGTTTCTCAAAAGCACTTCTGCTCATGGTCCCCAAAGAGGTTTTTTCTTGAGAAGCCCGCACATAACCCGAGAAAACTCTCTAGACCCCTAAACCCTCAGCCCTAGCCTAGGAGGACCGGCTGTCACTAACCCTCTTTCTTGGAATCCCGCAGCTGCATGAGGCCTGGATAATGCGGAGGGTTAGCCCCTGGTAATGCTATTGCAGTTACATACTTGGTAGTTTTCCAAAATAGGGGGAACACAGGGGAACCCCATGCATCACGCTTTAGGGTTTGGGGGTGCTTATATATGGCCCCAAGACTACTCGAAACCTTCTCATTGGTATCCCCCAAAACGGTACTGGTACCCTTGATTTTGGGAAAGCTGCATTTATGCCCCAATATCACATTGCTTCCCGAGGCAACGCACCACTGAATACTGGGTTTAGGGCGTTAGGGTTTGTAAGGTTTAGGGTCTAAGGTTTGAAATGTCTAGGCCCTTTACGTGGAGGGTCAGGGGGACTTGGTA